CGACCTGGAGATGGCCACGAACAGGGCCTACGACCCAGGCGCCCACGCTAAGGCAGATGTTGTGTGCGGCGCGGACAGACGGATGTCAAACAAGCAGTTCGTCGAGAACAAGCGCAACGAGGACCGCGCACAGAGGATCGCGAGCTTCCAGCTCGCATCCAGCTCACGCTCTGGACAGACGACCTCCCGCTGCACGGGGAGAAGAGACTGCTGGCCGAAGCCCAGGAGCTGCAGCGCATTCAGAAGTGCGGAGAGCCGAGCCAAGTGACGCCCACCAGCTCGACCTCGGCTTCCGCGACGCTGAGAACTTCGACCGACGGGGCCGCGGCCCCGTCGTCGCGGCTCGAGCGTAAGTCGACAGACCATCCCGATGACACGAGGCCTCCCCCTCGTCCCCCCCGCAATTTCCAGGTTCGGGCTGTTTTGCTGAAGTCTGGACCGGCGCGCTAGAAGTGGCGCAGCTGGCCCGAGCTATTCTTTCGCAGTTGCTCGAAGAAGTCCACGTCGCGCAACGCGTCGCCGCGGAAGCAGGGGCAGAGACAGTGCCAGACCAAGACCCGGGCCCGGCGCGACCCGCGCTGCGTCTTCTCCAATTTCCTGTTCGGAGCACCGTTAATCAGAGGAGGCAGCCGCAGGGCGGCGGAGCAGGGAAGGAACGCCCCAAGCGTTGGCTCAATGGCGCCCCCCAGCAGGTTTCGAGACACAGGTAAGCACGGGCAGGATGTAGGTGCAGCAGCCCCCATGTCAACTGTTGGTCAAGATGCTGCAAGAGAGGGGCTTCGAGTCAGGCTCCACCGTCGAGAAGCAGCTGCAGAAATCGCCCAGGCAGACCGAGGAGGCAGTCCCCACGGCAGCCGACCTCCATGCAAAGGCCTCCAGACCTCGTCCAGACCTCTTCTAGAGGGAGGGCAAGAAGCTCATGCAGATGGAGTCATCAGATAAGCGTGTCGAAATATGCAAAGGAGGCTCTGCAGGAGTCGCAGCGGCTCGACGATCAGGAGCCCGAGCAGCATCAGCCCCTCTGGGGCAGCATAGCGCAGATCGAGTCGCACATCGAAGAAGTTCACGCAGCATCCGCGCTGCCAGTGCCGGCCAACATCGACGAGGAAAGCGACCCCGCCCAGAAGCTCTCGGCGCTGGACATCCCGGACAAGGCCCTCCGCAAGTACGCATGCACGTTGGGTTTCGAGGCGAAGCCCCTCCTCCAAGCCGCAGGGCTCAAGAAGAAGGGGTTCCGGGATGAAGTGCCCAAGCAGCAGGAAGCACTTGTGCGAGGTGCTAAGAGTACTGATGCCGCGAGTGCACCTGCACCAGGGAGTCGAACGTAACCAACTTGAATCAGATGTTGCAGACCTTAAGAGAAGCGCACGAGAGCAGGAGTAGCAGCAGCTAGCGACCCCCGAGCACTCGAGCAACTCCTGGACGACATTGCCAACCGCATCGAGAGGCAGAAGCTGGGGTAGCACGAACTCCAGCTCCTCGGTGTGGCCCATCAACCCTGCTGCCTGGACATCAGCTCAGAAACTGATGGAGCGGGCCATGCATGACCATTGTGCGGCGCTGATGTTCACGGGGGGTGACGCGGTTGCTGCCATGGATATCCGTAAGGGCTTCGCCCCCTGCCGCCGGCCCCCTCTCTCGGAGAATGGGCCATGGAAGAGCTAAGTCATGAGGTCTTGGCGCTGTCGTGAAGCAGTATCGAAACTTCATGCGAAGCCGATTCGCAATCAGCAAAACCAACTGATCACAAGAGGGGTTACCACACCTGGCGATTGGTAAGACGTGTATGGTTTACGGGCTTGGTTACCACACCTTGCGATTAAAGGGCCGAGGGAGTTCTCGCAGTTTGGGTTACCACGCCTTGCGATGGATGTGCGTGAAGGGTGGCACCGAATTTCAGAAATGTGGCAAATCCCCTGTGTTTTTGGACCCTGACCCCGCGGATCTGCGTGAGGGGTGGCGCCGAATTTCAGAAATGTGGCAAATCCCCTGTGTTTTTGGACCCTGACCCCGCGGATCTGCGTGAGGGGTGGCACCGAATTTCAGAAATGTGGCAAATCCCTGTGTTTTTGGACCCTGACCCCGCGGATCTGCGTGAGGGGTGGCACCGAATTTCAGAAATGTGGCAATGACCCCGCGGATCTGCGTGAGGGGTGGCACCGAATTTCAGAAATGTAGCAAATCCCCTGTGTTTTTGGACCCTGACCCCGCGGATCTGCGTGAGGGGTGGCACCGAATTTCAGAAATGTGGCAAATCCCATGTGTTTTTGGACCCTGACCCCGCGGATCTGCGTGAGGGGTGGCACCGAATTTCAGAAATGTGGCAAATCCCTTGTGTTTTTGGACCCTGACCCCGCGGATCTGCGTGAGGGGTGTCGATTTCGAGCCCCCCCAGCAATTCAGACAACGCGCCCAGGGGACGCTAAAAATCTTGTTTGGGCCCCTCCCCCCCTCGCGCGGTCAATCAACTAGTTACAGTAACCAGCAAGAAGCAGAACTGTAACACTGGAAACTACAAGCTACAACTGGTACAGGAAACTGCGAATCACGGTCCTACAGCCTGGTGGCCCCACAAGGGGGCCTGCGGATTTCCAGCGTGGGCGGGGCCGACGGCAGCGGGGGGGCCTGAGACCCGAGGTCGCCGATCCCAGGAGGCCCTCGTGAGGGGAACGCCCGGTAGAATCGGTGGCCAGGCTGGTGGCTCCAGCGCCTGGTCCCAGGAGGCCCCCAAGAGGGGAACACCTGGTGGTATCGGAGGACCCCACGAAGCCCCCTCGAGGAGAACACTTGAGGGCGGCGATCACAGGGCAGCTGGAGGTGCAGACATTTCAGATCAAGTGCCAGAAGGCATTCTGACTGACGCCTTCTCTTCTGCATTCAGGAGTATCGAGTCAAAGATGCGATCAGGCACCAGCGTGCCATGACACGGGCGAAGCGGCGAGGCGATCAGAGTCCATGTCACTGGGGGAGGTCACAGGCCCAGAACCTGCGGAGTCGAGTGCAGGTTGCGCGGTGTTGAATACGTATCCAGCGGACATGATTTCCTTGAGTGATGGCGAGAAGCTTCCTAAGTTCTGGTTTGCAGCCAGCGAGATCAGCATCGGTCTTCCGTTGCCAGTAGTGATCTTTTCAGTAGATTCGCACACCAGCATTGGTACCCTAATCTCCTCCTCCTCCTCCTCCTCCTCCTCCTCATCCTCATCATCATCATCATCAGCATCATCAGCATCATCATCATCATCATCATCATCATCATCATCATCATCATCATCATCATCATCATCATCATCATCATCACCATCATCATCATCATCATCATCATCTCGCTCCTCCTCGCCCCACTACTTCCTTCCCTCCTGCCTCATAATCCTTCTCCCTCTACTTCCTTCTACCTCGTCCCCTTCGAAAGGGCGTTTTCTGTTGTCGCTCGTAGGGTCCCCAGGTTCGGATCCCCCGACACGGGGGGGGAGCGGGGGAAATGTCCCTCCCCACGGGATTCGAACCCGGGGGGGGGGGGGGGCGACGACGACGGCGTCGTGCTCGGCGTCGTCGTCGTCGTCGGCGGCGGCGTCGGCATTGGTGTCGTCATCGTCGTCGAGGCCGGCGTCGGTGTCGGCGCCGGCGCCGGCGTCTGTTTCGGCGTCGGTGTCGCTGTCGGCGCCAGGCGTCGTCGTCGTCGGCATCGGCGTCTGCGCTGGCGTTGTCGTCGTTGTCGGCGTCTTGCTCGACATCGTGATCGGCGTCGGCGTCATCGTCGGGCTGGCGTCGTTATCAGCGTCGGCGTCGACGTCAACATCGGCGTCGGTGCTAGCGTCGGCGTCGGCGGCGTCGTGCTCGGGGTCGTGCTTAGCGTCGTGCTCGGCGTCGGCGTAGTTGCCATTGTCGGCGTCGGCGTCGTGCTCCGCACCGGCGTCGGCGTCGTCATCGTCGTCGGCGTCGGCGTCGGCGTCATCGTCGTCGTCGTCGTCGACGTCGGCGCCGGCGTCGGCGCCGTTGTCGGCGTCGGCGTCGTGCTCTTAGTCGGCGTCGACGCCGGCATCGTTGTCGACGTCGGCATCGTCGGCGACGTGCTCAGCGTCGTGCTCAGCGTCGTGCTCGGTGTCGTCATCGTCGTCGTCGTCGCCGACGTCGGCGTCGGCGTCGTGCTCGGCGTCGTTGACGGCGTCAGCGTCGTCGTCGTCATCGTCGACGCCGGCGTCGGCGTCAGCGTCATCGTCGCCGTCGTCGACGTCGGAGTCGGCGTCGGCGTCGTGCTCGGCGTCGTGCTCGGCGTCGGCGCCGGCGCCAGCGTCGGCGTCGGCGTCGGCGTCGTCGTCGGCATCACCGCCAGCGTCCGCGTCGCCGCCGGCGTCGGCGTAGGCGTCGGCGTCGTATTCGGCGTCGTGTCCGGCGTCGTGCTCGGCGTCATCGTCGGCGTCGGCGTCGGCATCGTCGTCGTCAGCATCGCCGTCGTCGTCATCGTCGTCGTCGTGGTCGTTTCGTTTCCTCCCCCCCAGGTTCGAACCCACCCGGGGGGAGGCTTTTCCCCCCGCCCCCCCCCCCCTTTTCGAAGAGGGGGGCTCTCCCCCCCTCCCCAGCTTCGAACCCTGGGAGGGGGGAGTTTACCCGCCCAGGTTTCTGGGGGAGGGTGGGGTGCATTTTTTTTCCAAGCGAGCGCCCGCGAAACGCGCTCTCTACTTCCTTCGCATCCCCCTACCTCCTGCTCCTCCTCCCCGCCTCCCACCTCCTCCTTCTCCCATCTCTTCCTCCAGCCTCCTTCCAAGAGGAGGAGGAGGAGGAGGAGGAGGAGGAGGAGGAGGAGGAGGAGGGAGGCGGAGGGGAGGCGGATGTATGATGATGATGAGGATGATGATGATGATGAGGAGGAGGAGGAGGAGGAGGAGGAGGAGGAGGAAGAAGAAGAAGAAGAGGCGGCGGAGGAGGCGAAGGAGGAGGAAGGAAGGACGTGCCGACGTCGACGTCGTTAAGGGAGAGGGGACGTGACTGCCGCCGTCCCGAAGGAGCAGCTCGAGCCCGAACTCCAGGGCTCGCCAGCCATTGAACCCGTCACGCCGACGGAGCTGCGTGGCTCCCTGCCGTCGTCTGCTCGTCGGCACCGCATGTCGTCGTCGTCGTCGTCGTCGCCTCCCGCCTTCCCAACATCATCCCCTGTCATCCTCGCGGTGAAAAAAAAACACGACGGGAGGTGTTTGCCAATTTCAGCCTGCGGGGGCACCTTGCTTGGCCTGGGACCACCAAAAACAGTTCGGGATGCGAAGTTTGTCTTGGGGCAAGGGGTCCAGAACCCTGAGGGTCCACGTCGCGAAAAAAACACGACGTCGGGGTCTGGGTGTCCAGATCTCCGACGAATTAGGGTTTTCATAGATTTGGCCCTTGAGGCCCGCTTTCGGGACACGGATGAAAAAAATACGACGTCGTAGCTGCGTGGCTCCCTGCCGTCGTCTGCTCGTCGGCACCGCATGTCGTCGTCGTCGTCGTCGTCGCCTCCCGCCTTCCCAACATCATCCCCTGTCATCCTCGCGGTGAAAAAAAAACACGACGGGAGGTGTTTGCCAATTTCAGCCTGCGGGGGCACCTTGCTTGGCCTGGGACCACCAAAAACAGTTCGGGATGCGAAGTTTGTCTTGGGGCAAGGGGTCCAGAACCCTGAGGGTCCACGTCGCGAAAAAAACACGACGTCGGGGTCTGGGTGTCCAGATCTCCGACGAATTAGGGTTTTCATAGATTTGGCCCTTGAGGCCCGCTTTCGGGACACGGATGAAAAAAATACGACGTCGTAGGCCTTGTCTCGTGGTGACCTCAGGGGGCCTAGATGGACCAGGGACCTCTCCTCCTTCCTCCTCCTCCTCCTCCTCCTCCTCCTCCTCCACCTGCTCCTCCACCTGCTCCTCCTCCTTCTCCTCCTCCTCCTCCTCCTCCTCCTCCTCCTCCTCCTCCTCCTCCTCCTCCTCCTCCTCCTCTCCTCCTCCTCCCTCCTCCTCCTCCTCCCTCCTCCTCCTCCCCCTACTCCTCCTCCTCCTCCTCCTCCTCCTCCCCCTCCTCCCACGTGGTGAGAAGACGTCACGGCGTCGGAGTTCTGGGCCCCCCCAGGTGGCCTCTGGCCCCCCCAGGTGGGTTGTCGTCGGCGCCATTTAGTAGGCCGCATCGTCGCAGGGGTGAGGAGGGCTGCAGGAGGGGGAGGGGGCTGGCAGGAGCGCGACCCACCGGCGCGCCGACCATGGGTCAGGGGCAGCGTAAAGGGGGGGATAGGCTCGGGGGGGGAGGCATCGACTCCCAATCGTTCATGGATGCACCCCGCCCAGAGCCGTGCGGATTTGCTAGTGGTGGCCTATCGCCGATCTGTTGGCGATGTATCGCCGATTTCAGTTCGATGGTTCCCCCCCCCCCTGAGTCGGTGCCCCTCCTACCGTTCACGCCGACGAGGCGTGGCTCTCCGCCGTCGCTGTCGCCGTTGGTGCCGGCGTCGTCGTCTGTCGGCATCGCAGGTTCGGAACGTTTTCTGGTCGTTTGCGGGTGTTCTCGTCGTCGGGGCTGGGCGCAGCTTGCAAATGGCCAAGATGAGCCCGAGGAGGGCAGGGTGATGAGCCATCTGGACCGTCCCAGCCCCCGCGAGGTCCCAAGCCGCCCCTCCCCTCCCCCCCCAATACACCCCACCGAACATGACCCAGCTGTGCTCCAGGAAAGTCCTAAGTTAGCCCCAAAGGGTCTTTAACCCCCCACCCCCCTAAAAAGAATGAAAAATTATAGTTTCTGCGTAGGCTCATTGACGGATTGGAAAGTAATTATTCCCCCGCGGCAGCCACCGTTAAGAGGATCTCGTCAAGCTGGCCCCCACGCTCCACGATTTCCCTGCTCACGTAAGATCGCCGACGAATGACGTCCTGCCTGTTTCAACGCATGGGTCGGCCCATTTGTTCTTGTTGGATTCGCAGGTCCCGTTCCCAGACCCACTCGCGTCTAAAGAAAATCACGGCGGCAGGTTTTCGGCAATGTTCTGGCTCCAGGGGGCCTCAACACTTCGGGACCTTCCACAAAACGACTCAGCAGGATGAAAAACCTGTCCCCGGAAAGGGGTCCAGACCTCATGGGGCTCCACGTTTTGAAAAAACACGACGTCGGGAGTTCGGGCTTGCGGGTCTCAGTGCCCGAAGCGGGCTTCCGAGACGGAGAATGGGCCCACCCACGGCTGCAGTTTCTTCGCGAGCGCCAGCGTCTCGGCTTATCAAAATGTCCCCGTTGACAGGGCCCTGCAGGTGCTCCATCCCGGACCACTTGTCGATGCCCCCTGGGACCGACAACGGCATCCAGACGTCCGCACACGGCAAGAGAAACAGTTGTCTTGATCTCTCCCAGTCGCTGCCAGTATGGGTCCTCTCTCCTGCCCCTCCTCCACCTCCCCCTTCTCCTCCTCACCCCAGAGTCACCCCCCACCCGGCGTGGCTTGGGAAGAAGATTGCCAGGGAACCCCGGCATGGAGGACGAAAAGCCCTCCAATGTTGGTCAGCGCTGACCCCAAGCAGTGAGTTATTGCATCGTGGAGGTGTGAGAGATGTTGTGCAAGCGAAGTTGTGTAAGTTTTGCGGTGTGAGTTTTCTGGTGCAATGCATGTTGTATAAGCTAAGTGGTGCACGCTACGGTGTGTAAGCTGTGTGGTGTGAGCTACACGGTGTGAGATAGATCGTGTTATCTATGTTGTGTAAGCTATGCTGCGTTAGCTATGTTGTGTAGGATCTGTCTTGTGATATAGACGGAGTGAATTATGTTGTGCAAGACATGTGGTATCAGCCACGCTATGAACTCTGAGCAATGTAAGGTAAGTCGTGCAAGCTATGTTGTGCAAGCTGTGTGGGATGAGCTATCTGGTGGGAGCTATGCGCTGGAAGCTATGAGGCGCAAGCTATGCGGTGCAAGCCGTGTGCTGCGAGCTATGTGACGGAAGCGAACGGGGCGCTTATGAGGCGCCCACGAGCGGGCACGGGCGCCAACGAGGCGAAATGTCGGGAAACCCGGTCAGCGCACGGGGCGCCCACGGGGCGCCCACGAGCGGGAACGGGCGCCAACGCAGCGAATTTGTGTGAAGCCCACCCAGCGCACGGGGCGCCCACAAGGCGCCCGCGAGCGGGCACGGGCGCCAACGCGACGAAAATCTGGGAAACCCATCAAATGAAGCAAGACAGCCAGGTCAGAGCCCCTAAGCGCAAGCATGGTTCGGGGATTCACAACTAATCAGAATTAGCCAGCGCGGACCCCAAAAAGAGAGGTGTTGCACCATGGAGGTGAAAGCTCTGTGTTTTAAGCTATGTGGTTTAAGCTATGTCGTGTGAGTTAAGTTGTGTGGGCTATGAGAGTCAAAGCTATGCGGCGCGGTCTGAGGTATAAGCTATGCAGTGTCATATACGTGGTGTGAGCCGTGGGTGGAAGCTGGGTTGCGCAAGCTATGCGGGGTAAGATATATAGTGCAAGCTGTGAGGTGTAAGCTATATGGTGCACATTGCGCCGTGTAAGCGGTGGGGACTATGTGAGGTAAGATGAGCGCGCGGGGCGCCCACGAGCACCCACGAGGTGGCACGGGCGGCAAAGTGGCGCAACCTGGTCTGACCTACTCAGCGAACGGGCCGCCCACGACGCGGCACGGAGCGGCAGAGCGGCGCAACCTCAGCGGACCCACCCAGCGCGCGGGGGGCCCACGAGCGCCCATGAGGCGGCACGCGACGGCAACGTGGAAAATCATCGACCGACCCGTCAAGTTACCCAGGGGGCATAAGTAAGAACCCCTAAGTTCAAGCGCTCTTTGAGTAAAAAGCCTGATCGGCTAACCTCGATTCTCCTCCTGCATGGCTGCTTCGGGGACGCTTTAGCTGCGTCCGCGGTGAGAGTTTTTGGGCTTCCGCTGGCAGTTTCCAGTTTTTCTATGTTGTCAACGATGTTTCGGGTTCTAGAAACTTGTAGATACTGGGCCGACGGCAGGTCCGAAATTCGCAGCAAATTCGCGGCCCGGGTCTTCCCATCGCGTTGCGATGTATGTCTTCTCCGACAGTGCACGTGTTCCGGTGTGCCAGTTCGTCCGCGAGAAGAGAAGATGTGTGGGCCCTGGGGCGTTTGTGTGATCAAGAGGTGGATATCTGCCGCGATGGGCGTCTGACCGTATCCTCCTCCTCCTCCTCCTCCTCCTCCTCCTCCTCCTCCTCCTCCTCCTCCTCCTCCTCCTCCTCCTCCTCCTCCTCCTAGGCGCGAGTCCTGCTAACGGGTGGTCGGTGGGCAGCGGTGGGCTGCGGTGCCGCGGCCCCCCTGCCTCCCGACTGGCCCGCTATGCGACCAGGCTTTCCGCATCCTGAGGCCTCCTTGCCTCTTGCTTTCCAAGGGCAGCGCGTCGATTCAGGCACTGCCTCTCGGCCAGGTATATCCTTCGGGGGCAACGTTCCGGGGACCCCCGAACGCCCATTCAACGCCTATTTGGGCCAGATAGCCCACCCCTCCCAGGAACGCGCGGGGTCGCTCCCCGGACTCCTGACGCCGACCTATCGGCGACGTATCGCGGATTCTGGGTCGACGTTCCCCCCCCCTTAGGCCAGTCCCCCCGAACGTTGCCCCGCATTCTTCCTCCCCTGAGATCCGACGACGCGTAAAATTAACAACATCGTGAAAAATCACGACCAGAGCCCTGGATCCAATCTTTCTGCTCCATTTTCCGAGCCTGATCGATCTGCGAGGGTCCAGGGGCCCGAAATGATGCCATCATCATGTCCGACTCGAACGGATGACGACGTCAGGATCTCAGGGTTCTCCTCGCAGCATCCCGCCGCGAGAGGAGCAGTCACTCTCGCACAGCCAGTTCTGCCGCGCGCTCCGGCATGCCGCCGGGAGGGCGGCGGAGAAGGCCTCGGGAGCGTCCAAGAATGGAGTGATGTCTGGGGGGCTGCTCAAGACGTCATGGCTCCCTCCCCTCATTCCAGTACGTCCCCGGGTCCCCCACTCGGCCGCGCACGTTTTTCCGTCGGCGGCGAGGCTGAGGCACAGCACCAGCGAGCAGGCTGAACGGGGGCGCCGTTGTCGCGAACTGGCCAGCACGTGCCTCGGGCCCTGGACGCCCCGCCTCCCTCGGACGCCCCCGAGAGGCCGCGGCGGGCCGGGCCCCGGAGCGCCCGCGGCAGCCGCAGGAGGTGGAGCGGCGCCCTCAGCCTGCGCGGGGGGCGCCCGCTCACCACCGCCCCGGGTCTCCGACGACGTGCGACGACGACGACGACGACGACGACGACGACGACGACGACGACGACGACGACGACGACGACGACGACGACGACGACGACGACGACGACGACGACGGCGGCGGCGGCGGCGGCGGCGGCGGCGGCGGCGGCGGCGGCGGCGGCGGCTGTGGCCACGACCGCGACGGTGGCGGTGGCGGCCAGCGTCCATCCTCAGCCACTGTCTCTGGCCAGCCCCGCTGGAAGAGCCTCGGCATGGGCGCCCTAGGCCCTAGCATACCTTACCACGCCTCCTTACTATATGGGTTGTCTGTAGTGGCCCTGGTTCTGCTTGTTCTTGAGTTCTCGCTCTTGAAGAATAATATTTCATTGCACCACAGAACAACCTCAATCAGCGGATGGGTCGAAACTTAATATTATGAATATTGAAACCGATTGTGAGAACGATAGTGAGATCGACCGTGGTACCGATAGCGAGGACGATTGTAAGGTCGATCGCGAGACCGAGAGTGAAGTCGATGCAATGAGATCGATAGTGAGAGCGATCGTGAGATCGCTCGTGCGATCTATAATGAAATTGCTTGTGAGATCGATGGTGAGATCGATGGTGAGATCGATAGAAGGGTGGGTACTTAATGAGATCGATGGTGACACCGATCGATAAGAAGATTGACCAGGAACCCAGGAACCCGGAAACTCCGCCGCCCACCGAAATCGGCCCAGAACCCGGAGCGGGGAACCCAGGATCCGGGACTTAGGACTCCGGAACCCGGCCGCCTACCGAAATCGGCCCGGAACTTTAGCTAAATCTTTCAACATCCGCTAGGACCCCTTTAGTGCAAGCATTGATTGGGGAATGATCGCCTCCATTGGTGCACACTGTGTTTTCTCAATTCAAGTGCCCCCTCGGGGCTCGCAACCTGTTGTTATTAAGGAAAGTGTTCCTGCTCAAACTGTGTTGGTGGGCCCTGCTTTACAGCAGCAGCAACAACAACAACAGCAACAGCATCAGCAACAACAACAATCATCGCTTTATGACTGTTCGCTCTTATTTGCTTGCGTGCCAGTCAACACGTAAATCCCAGACCCTCGATACCCACCCTCTTCGTCTTCGATCGCACCCCCCTGGGTGTATATTTTTCTTACCTGCAGCGTGTGTTTCATGCAGCCGCTCCGGCAGGGGAAGGGAGGACGGATGGAAGGAAAGGACGAGGGGGAAGGAGGATGGAGCACGAGAAAGAATAGCAGGAGGGGGGCCAGGAACAGAAAACACGTGGCAGGACCAGACGGGCAGACTGGGCGGGTAGACCCTAACGGGCGGGTCGGGAAGACGGGCCCAGGCGGCCAGGTCGAGCAGGCGGGTTGTTGAGGCGTGCGTCCTGCATGAATCTGAATCGCGAGTCTCGAGCGATAGCGCGGTTCCCAAGTAAATCGTGAGATAGACCAAAGCCAGAAGCCAGAGCGTGATTCTTGAGTGTCGACGGAGTGGCGTCTGAATAAATTGCGAGGAGATCCCACAAGAAAGCGCGATTCCTGCATGCATTGTGAGGACGTCCCGCGAGAGCGCGATTTGGGAATAAATGGTAAGGATACATCAGGCGGGAGCTGATGTTGTCGTAACTCAAGGGCCAGGGGGCCACTTCTGAGACCCAAGACTTTCCGCGAGAAGAAACACAGTGCGAGCCCCGCTAAGGGCAATTCAATTGAAACATACAATGCGCCTGGAGGGGTGATCAACCATCAGTATTAGTCGGTAGCGTGGGCTTAACAACAACAACAACAACAGCAACAACAACAATCAGTTTAAGACGGTTCGCTCTTATCTCCTCGAGTGTCATTCAACGTGTATTTCCCATACCGTCGAGACGGGCAGCGAAGGGGCCACAACGGACGATAATGGGGCCACGAAGGACATGCACATGGAGCCATTACGGGCGCGAACGAACCGGGGCCACGAAGCGCATGCGCATACTGGGCCGCAGAGGGCAAGGACGGGGCCACTGAGAGCAGCGACGGGACCACGAAAGGCAGCGAAAGGGGCACGAAGGGCGACAGCGGGGCCACGACGCGCATGCATATGGAGCCACGACGGGCGCGAACGAGCGGGGACCACGAAGGGCATACATATATAAGGCAACGGGGCCACAAAGGGCTGCAACGGGGCCACGAAGGGCAGCGGGGGGGCGCGAAGGGCGACAGCGGGGCCACGAAGGGCAGCGAGGGGGCCAAGAACGGTTGCAACGGGGCCACGAAGGGCAACGAGGGGGCCACGGACGGCTGCAACAGGGCCACGAAGGGCAGCGAGGGCGCCACAGAAGGCTGCAACAGGGCCACGAAGGGCAGCGAGGGGACCACGACAGGCTGCAACGGGGCCACGGAGGGCAGCGAGGGGGCCACGACAGGCTGCAACGGGGCCACGAAGGGCAGCGAGGAGGCCACGAAGGGTTTCAACGGGGCCACGAAGGGCAGCGAGGGGGCTACGAAGGGCTGCAGCGGGGCCACGAAGGGCCGCGAAGGGGCCACGAAGCGTTGCAACGGGGCCACGAAGGGCGGCGAGATCTTGATTCCGAAATAAACTGCGGGGGAGTCCTAAGCGTGAGCGCGACTCCTGGGTGCCTCAGTGTCGGGGGCGCGGTGTTTGAGTGAATGGCGGGAACAAGCGAGAGCAATTCCTAAGTAAAAAGCGAGGAAGTCTCGGACGGGAGCGGGGGTCCTGGCTAAGTTTTGAGGAAGTATCAGGCGGGAGCCGCTGTTGTAATCCAGGGGCCAGGGGCGCAGTGTGAGCCAAGTGATTTGCCCTGACAAACAACAGGGTGCGAGCACCGGGGGAAGTCCTTCATTTGAAAAAAACACCATGGTCACCAGAGGGGGGATCAACAATAGTCATTCCTCAGTACTGAGAGTTCAACAACAACAACAACAACAACAATTACTAGCACGCGGGGACACTCCGTTCTCACCAGTGCCAGGGTTTTCATAGGAGGCGGGCAATACCCCCACTTTGTGGGGTGGCCGGTTCAAGCTCTACCACATTTCCAAACGACTCTTCGCCACCACCCACACCCAGCTTCCCGCCCTATGACGTTCGGACACTTCACTTCGTGGCCTGCGGACGACCGTGGCTACTACACTGGCGCATGGGTACAGTGACTTGTTGTGGTAACATTTTCTGTAAGCTAGCTTAGTATACGACTTTTCCCCCTGTTCCACTGGACAACCCGATACTTGCCCCACCAAGTCTTGCACGCCTGGTGACTGGCCTGGATACCCTTTGCATCGAGCGCCTGATGCAAATGATACGGGCTGCCGCAGTCAGCCAAGGGAGGCCGCGACAGCTCTGGGCCATACTGGTCGTCAAGGGCTTTCGCCGACAAAGCCATGACCCATCCAAGAACACAGGCGATACCTTGATCCGAGATGGCTACGGATGTGACAGTGATCAGTGATTTTGTTCGATGACGTGGTGACGCACGGACTTGTTGTGGTAACATGCCGACGACGACGACGACGACGACGACGACGCGACGACGCGCGCATGTGTCCCGCATGGTATTTTTTGCAAGGGATTGTAGCCCCTGGCAGGCGCGCGGACGCCGTTGAATGCGAAAGTAGCTCGCGCGAGCTCATGTAACATAAATGTTGAAAAACCATTTGTTTTTAACGATTCGGACAGCGCGCGCGGGTAGAAATTTGGAAAATCCGTGCACGTGTTTTTCGAGGACCTATGGTGCGATTCGTGCGATTTTATGATACGCGGTGCTGAATTTCTTAAGAAACCCAATGGTATTGGAAGATTTCGGCGTGCGCGCGCGAAGAAAAAACGAATGTGTACCATATGGTATTATTTGACAGGGATGATGGCCCTGGCATGCGCGCAACCGTTGTTGCAGAAGTTCGAAGCACGCGAAAAAGTTGCTCGCAAGAGCCCGTTTGACAGAAATGTTGAAAAAATATTGGGTTTCCTCAGAAATCCGCAAGAGCGCGCGGGATGAATGTTTGAAATTTGTTTTTGAAAAACCATTGGGTTGTTCATGTTTTTATGTTAAAATCGCTACGAAAACTAAGGTTTTGGAAGGATTTCATCTTGCGCGCGCGAGTGTGCACTTCGTGTCATTTTTTGCAAAGGATTCTTGAAGTTTGGTTATGTTAGAACAAGACATGTCATTTTATATTGTTTTTTGACAGGGAAAGCGGGCGTCAACAAAACAACCGGATCTGGATCACATCGTTTTGCCTGAGACTTCCTCACGAAAATTATGAAAATGAGGCTGCGGCCTAGGCGCGGCGAGGGGGCCATGCACCAGGGGCCCCAACAATAATTATTCTTTAGAAATAATAATGTTCAACAACAATTACTAGCACGTGGGGACACTCCGTTCTCACCAGTGCCAGGGTTTTCATAGGAGGCGGGCAATACCCCCACTTTGTGGGGGGGCCGGTTCAAGCTCTACCAAATTTCCAAACGACTCTTCGCCACCACCCACACCCAGCTTCCCGCCCTATGACGTTCGGACACTTCACTTCGTGGCATGCGGACGACCGTGGCTACTATTCAGGGCCCCGCGGCCGACGACGACGGCGTGCGCGCGCGAAGAAAAAACGAATGTGTCCCGCATGGTATTATTTGACAGGGATGATGGCCCTGGCAGGTGCGCAACCGTTGTTGCAGAAGTTCGAAAAAGTTGCTCGCAAAAGCCCGTTTGACAGAAATGTTTAAAAAGTGTTGGGTTTCCTACGAATCCGCAAGAGCGCGCGGGATGAAATTTTGACAATTTTTTTTGAAAAACCATTGGTTTTTTGATGTTTTTATGTTAAAATCGCTACGAAAACTAAGGTTTTGGAAGGATTTCGTCTTGCGCGCGCGAATGTCCACTTTACCTTATTTTTTGCAAGGGATTCTTGAAGTTTGGTTATGTTAGAACAAGAAATGTCCACTTTAGCTTATTTTTTGCAAGGGAAA